AATGCAAAGTAAATAGAATTAAGATGTTAACAGAACTGTGATTATACGGATTATGTGTTGTCAATAATGAGACTGTACTTCAACTAGGAAAGTACTTGTATGCAAATATCACTATCAAAATAAAAAGCAAACTTTGTCTTCATAACACAAGTGAACACAATTGAAAATCAGTATCAAGGAATTTTAGAATTTTTACAGATATTGTGATAAAATGATTCTTCCATTTTGTTTCCATCTTTAAACTATAAGAAATGGAGCTACTCATTATAGTTAAAAAAACCTCTGAGCAGTAACTGCCATTGTACCATATCTTAAATAAAACTTATCTCTTAAAACAGACAAGTGTGAGCCATAATATATCTTTTAATGTTCTTTTTGGGTAAATAGGACCTCATTTCCATACTTGAGAGCAAAGAGGCTTAATATTTTCAATGTAAGTTTAAGACTTGTTGCTTAGCAATATTCAAATGAGAGAGAGTCCCTCCTCCAGAACTGGATATAAAACAATTGTCCGTGTGAATGTGTGTTAGATTCAGTAAAGGAAGAGATTTCTTAGTACTTAAATTATAACGAGATATGAGACCATGTAATCAAATGAGAACAATCCAACTCAGTAAATTTTGTGCAGATTGTTAGCTACATATCACTAATTGTATATGTATCATTAGGTGTGGTTCATAATCATTCACCAACCTCTCCTCATGAAGTGCCTGGTAGCCTCTTTATAGAATTGGCATGTAAAAGCAAGGCCTCTCAGTCCTTGTCTAGATCCTATTTTTGTGCATTTTTTTCCCTTCTATCTTTAGCCCACATTTCTTGGCTTTCATGCCTTCACCAGTTCTTGATGTCCCTTTGCAAAGGCTTGATGTATTTTAGTACAGAGCTTACCAGGAGAATCTGCTACTCCTGTAGTTGCCTTTCAAGCTGCATTGCCCACTCTTGGTGTCTGAACATCTGTCTGAACGCATTTATTATGCATTACTTGTTCAGTTAGTCTTGGTCCTCTCTCTGTGCAGCCTTTTATCTCTTCTCAAGAATCCCTTTAGTTTTAGTAATTGGCCCTCCAAGGGATAAGGCCTTAAATATGGTAGCTCCATAATAAACTGTATTGAATATATGTTGAATGAATAGTCTTAGACTTGATGCAGGACATGCAAAAAACACTCTTCAGCTGCAGGAAGAAATACTAGAATTTCTGCTTATTATCAGTTGTAAATCCCATCCTTTTATTTACTTTAGTGTATTTTATAGTGTAGACAATACATTCTCATACATTCCATGGATAGGTCTTCTAACTAGGGGGCTAAAGTCTCAGTAATTATTGGCAGAGTAATTTCTCTTGTCTCATCTCTTTCTGGTCTGGTCAGTCTGGCTCCAATGGCCATTCTGCTGTGGTAGGCTCCACCTACCACAGGCTGACCAGTTCAGCATGATAGCCAGTACTGGGGTCACAATGGTCACCCCATCTTTCCAGCCTGTCTTTTAACCAGTTCTTACTGCTCTTTGCTGTGATATGTGCTTTCTATATTGGCAAAGTCATCATAATGGAAAATGTTTATTTATTTTGCCCCTGTATTGATTCGGAAAGGGTAGTTTCAATGGCTACTTTCTTGAAGTATACAAAAAAACCCCACCTTTATCTATGATGTCTTCCTGGTTTTAAAACCCTTCACAAGCCTCCCTACCTCCAAATCCTTTGTGATACAGATAAAAGCATTTATTAAAAAAATAAGGAAATAGCAATTATACAGCGAGAGAAAGAGTCAAAATCTTTTAAGGTAAAAGGTATGTTCCAGGAAAGTTGTATACAGATAAAACTTTTAAAAATGAAATCCTACTTTAAAAAATGTATCAAGAGAGCTTGCTATTTATTTTCATTTTAACATTTTTATAAAGCAAAGAATCAATTTCATATAAATGACCATTCTTCTTTATTTTATTTTACAGGGCTTGCTTGAACTGAGGTATATCTTCACTAGGCAGTAGTTTTCTGTCTCATTCCTTTTAACAGGAAATACAAAAAGTACAGTTATATAAACACCTAAAATTTTTACACAAAATTTGAACAGAATGACACCGCTCAATCTGGCATTATCTTGATGACTTTGAGACAGAGTACCTGTGACCTTTTGTTATAATTCTGCTTTGTAAGTTAGCCAAGTTATCTTTAATAAGGATTCTCTGTCTTGATTAATAAAACATCACCATTCAACTAGTTTTTCAATCCAGAAATACTAGTGTCATCTTTCAGTCCTTCTTCTTCCTTATAATTCATATCTAGTTAGTTATTGAGTCTTGTAAATTATACATTCATAACAATTTTCAATTTTCCTCCCTCTTTATTCCAACCACTATTGCCCTAATTAAAGCCATATGACCTTTTTGGTCTATAGCAATAATGCCCTAACTGGTCTTCCTGTTACCAGTCCTCCTGTCCTTCAAGCTTTCCTTCACACTGTTTCAATAATATTTTCTAAAACATGTATGTATTTTATTATTCCTCTACTTAAATCAATCAATGTCTGTCTCTTAATTACTATTGAAAAACCTTCAAATTTCCTGATGCGCCACCCAACTACCATCACAATTATTCCTAAGAAACCTGGCCCCTCCACTGCTTCTCGCCCCCATTCCAAACTGTCCACATTTGTGTAAACATTCCCATTCACTTCCCCAAATTTCTGTGTCTTTTTCTCTCTCTGTTTCCTCTATCTGGATCTTCCCCCCAACTGTCTGCCAAATGAAATCTTTTAATATTTGTTTAACTTATCTTCTTTGTGATGCTTTCTCCAGACCTCTGCTTTTTGGTACTTCCACATTTCTTTTACGGACTTTTGCCACATGATATAATGCACTGAATAGTAAAGAAGCATGAGTCTGTCTACCCTGTCAAAAGGCAAGCTCTTCGAAGGCAAGAGGTCTGCTATTTTGAGATTTGAATGTCCATGTTCATTATAAAGTCAATTAACCAGTATATGATATTTTGTACCCCATGATCCTCTGAGCAGTTAGGTATGTCTGAGACTTTTTTTTAAAAAAGTACTTGGTTACATTATTTACCATTTACTTGGTACCTCAAATTCAGAGACTTATTTCTTAATCAAGACATAATCTTGATGAATTGGGAGATTGCGATTGACATACATACACTAATATGTATAAAATGGATAACTAATAAGAACCTGCTGTATAAAAAAATAAATAGAATTCTAAAATTCAAAAAACAAAGACATAATCTATAATTTTCAAGAAGCACTTTTCAGAGTGTTAGTATATGGTGACCTAATTTGATGTTTAATTCTGCAGTCAGATTTAAACTAAGACAGCACTGTTCTAGGCCTCTTAGTCCTTACAATCATATAAGAGAGAAGAATATGTCTGGAATCTGGATGTCAAATCTGACAACAAAATTTATACATGCTTCAGGATTTGAGTTACCCTGTCAATTTTATTAGTATCTTAAATTTAGTTATGAACTTCTCATTTTAAAAAGCAGTTAAAATATTATTTAATATGAATTTCAAGTGTATCTATATAGACATACAGCCAAAGAATCTAGTAACTACTCCTAAATATATTGTTCATTATTTCCTATCTTATTTTATCCTTTTAGTAGATCATACTTGTTGCAATTTTACTGAACATTTTGTTTTATAATATTTTTATAATAATTCTAAATACTGTTCTCTAAGGTTGTAAATAATATGCATAGTAGAAAAATCTTACACGCATTGTTCCATAACTTGAAAAGTCGCTTTAAGTTATACATTTACAAAAATAAAAGAGAAGAAAATAAAAGCCTTGAGAAGAAAATAATTATGACATTTTCCAGTTAGAAAATGGATTTGAAAATACTGCTTTTTCTAAAATGAACAATTTATTTTCAGATTTGATAGAATTTTATTTTTATGAAGCTTTTTGATCAAATTAGAAGATCAGTAGATACTTCTACCTTATATATCAGACTCAGATTAATTTATTCTCCTTAGAACTATTTCATTGTTGGAGAAATTAGTGAAAATATCATCAATACATTAATGTAGAGGATTTTTACAAAGCAGACATAGTAAGGGTATAACATGTTTTATTCATAATACTAAACTTGTACCCATTCTAGAGCAGTTAAATACAGTGAGGTTTCAAAAAAAACTCATAGAAAATGAAATAAAAGATAACTAAATAAAAGATTTGCCTCTTTTAAAATAATGTGTAATGTCAGAATAAGAGAAGAGAATAAAAACATCTTGAATAGTTTTACTGACTCATTTTTCATTGAAGCTGAAATGAGTCAATGGTGAGGGTTCTGTTTTAAAAATAACAGACTAGTATAATTTTACAAATTATTAGCTTTTTGACAGCCTGAGACTTAACTCCTTGAAACAATAACCAAAGAGATCAGTGGAATGAATTAGTTCATGAGTTAAGTTGAGATCGAATTATTGACAGATGATAGTTTGGGTCTCAAGTTTTAGCCTTCTACTCCTGCTCACATTTCCCCCAAGTCCCATTCAAAAGAAGGTTGAGAGTGTATTTATATATCTCCAGAGAAATCTACATTGTTCATTTTTAAGTATGATCAGACGTTCCATAACATTTGCTATGAGAAAAAAATTTTCATTTCCTAACCACTGGTTCTTTACCATCACTGACTTAATTGATTGCACCATTGGCCTGTACAGAACTCCATTTAAACGAGATAACTATTGAAACATCAAAAATACTCAGGCAAAGGCAGATTTTTTGTGAGGGCAGTAATGACGTGGATCTTAAGCATGATGTTAAAGTCCCCACAGAGTGGAAGAAAGGAAACAATTAACTGTCAATTCTTTTTTAAACCAGGCACTCAGATAAAACAAATACTTCTCAATTAGATAATGATGTTAAATTGGGAAAACGACAAATGAGAGCAGAAAATTAGAAAACAAAACCAGAATTACTCTAATAACATTAAAAATAATAAAAGTAAACAAACTATATTGGAAAAGGATGTATAAACTTACAGTTGTTGTATAAGCAGCTTCTGGATCATCTTCCAGCACTCGGGAGAGACCAAAATCAGAAACTTTGCATACTAAGTTGCTGTTGACCAATATATTCCTAGCTGCTAGATCTCGGTGAACATAACCCATATCAGAAAGGTACTTCATTCCTGATGCAATGCCTCGGAGCATACCAACCAACTGGATGACTGTGAAGTGGCCATCATGTTTCTGAAAGAGAATCACAGTTATTTCCATTGATTTATTTTATTATAGTACGTGTGCACGCATGCATGCATGTGTGCCTGTTTGTGTAGGTGTGTGTGGTGTATTAAGTGAAATTCTTGAATTTATTTTACTGGATCCAATGAATGTAAGTATCAAGTTTGCTGATCATTGACTGTGTTCATAACAAAAGATAAAAATTTGTTGGAGATTTAAAGGAAAGGAAAATCTAGCTTGAAGTGATGAAGGAGGGAAAAGAAAGGAGAGAAGAGAATCCACCAAATTAACGTCCAGAAAAAATGATTTCAAAAACTTTAAGTAACAAAAGGGAACTAAAATCGAGTAAGATAGTAGCAAAGACTTCCAAGAAAAAAGAATTGACTTTCCGTAGTAGTGAGCTCCCAAGGGAGTAAAACCTAGGATGTGATGAAAGCTGTGTGATTGCTGGAAATATGGTGAAAAATGATCAACGAAAAAGAAAAACTGATTGCATAAACGAGTTTAGGAAAGTTGCAGGAGAATGGAAAAAAAAACCCACATGCAAACAGAAAATAACTAGATTTTCCCAATCTTTCCTTATACAGTTGACTCTGAAACAACATGGGTTTGAACTGTGAAGGTCCACTTATACCTGGAGTTTTTTCAATAAATACACAATTGGCCTTCCTCATCTGTGGGTTCCACCAGCCGACAGATAGTGTACAGTACTATGTTTACAGTCCTGGGTTGGTTGTATCCGAGGATGCAGAATCCACGGATACACAGGGCTGGCTATGGAACTTGAGCATCTGCATGTTTTTGTATCTGAGGCTGGTCTTGGAACCAATCCCCCGCGGATACCCAGGGAAAACAATATAGAGCAAATATAAAGAAAGGAGTTGGCAATTGACTGAAAACAGGACTATTTTATTATAGTTCCCAGCGGGAAAATTAAAAGAAATATGAATAACAAGCCAAGCACAGCACTGGTATGTAGTAATTAATCCCTTGACTATTTACGCCTCTCACCTTGATTTAAAAAAAATATTTTTAACTTAAGTATAATTGATTTACAATATTGTGTTAGCTTCAGGTGTAGAGCATAATGATTTAGTATTTTTTGCAAATTATACTCCAGTATAGGTTATTGCAAGATGATGGGTATACAGTATATCCTTATATATTTTATAAATTCTAATCTGTATATATTAATCCCATGCCCTTAATTTGTCCCTCGCCCCTACACTCTCCCCACTGGTAACCACAAATTTGTTTTCTAAATAAAAATAATATTTTTTTAAAAAGTAAAAAAAATCCAGTTGTCATTCATACAAGATGTGTGCACCAACAAGACCAGATACAAATAGTACAAGAGTACAAATGTAGAGAAAATGAATATAAAAATAATTTAAGTTTGAAAAATAATGCATATTGTTCTACTTAGTTGTTTGGAGATTGTTGTCATTAATGGGGTTATTGAGAAACATGAGATTCTCAAGTCGGTTTCACACATCAGGTAACATTTATTTATGAATGATATTAAAAATTAATATCTATTAAGAGACTAGAGGACTATATTACCTTATACAGTGTGATAGAGGCATACATAAGAGTATCTCAAAATTTGCAAAGTTAAAGCAGATTTCATGGATATATGATTTAAAACTATAGAGTAGCTTAAACACAGTGACGATTTGACCCTATCACAGTGACATGGTCTCCTGTACAATGATGATTCATCAGTCAGTGAAATAAATAAACTTATATTGCAAACGGAATAAACTTCATCTTACTTTATCAACATACGTCCCCGATAGCTCTCTGATAATATCTCCCAACTCAAGTGCAGAGTAAGGAAAAGAACACTCTCTTAAAAGAAACATTCTACAGCAAGAGTATCCATTTAAGCAGGCTCTTCTGTATAATTAATGTATAAAAGATAACCTAGCAAAGAAAATCTTTGGTGTTATTAGCTCTTTATGTTTCCCATCCATCTTCTTAGACAGTGCACAATTAGATGAAATCTGCCTCTTCTGTCATGTACCCTACCTACCTCTCCTCTATTAGGAATCTCAAAGCCTTTGAAAGCATAAATTCTTTTGGACTAGAAAGGATTACACTAATTTTAAAGAGATGGTTCTTTTACGTATTAGTAAGTGAAGTTATCTGGTGTCAACAGTTCTTGTCAAGGCAGAATTTCTGTATAGTAGGAAATGTTAATGGATGATCTGAACACTAAAGAGTGCCTCAGTTTCCTTATCTCTACAATGAGAATAGTATAATCTAACTCAGAATTGTAGTGAGAATCACACACAAAACACATAGCACAGCCCATCATTTATTTTAATAATAGTCATAATTTAATAAAAACTTATCATCATATGTAGTTTTTGTCATTTTAATATTAATCAGAAAATTCTCCACTCACTTTCCTGAAAAATCAGTTGGCAACAGAAACTCTTACATTATAAAGAGAAATAGTTACTTAACACCAGGTTGAAATTTAACTTCCTATCTTGTTCTGAGGGTGGCACAAAGCACCAAGTTATTTCTTTAAAAAAAAAAAGACTATTTTTTGGAACACTTTTAGGTTCAAAGCAAAATTAAGAGGAAGGTACAGAGATTTCCCATATACCTTCTGCCCCCCACCACATGCATAGCCTCCCCACACGATTATCAACATCCTTCACTGGAATGGTACATTTGTTACAACTGGTGAATCTGCAATGACAAATCATAATCGCCTGAAGTCCATGGTTTGAACTTTAGGATTCATTCTTGGTGTTGTACATTTTTGGGTTTGGACAAATGTATTATAACATGCACTCACCATTACATTATCACATACTGTTTATGTATAGTATCGTATATCAATAACATAGTACTTTCACTGCTCTAAAAAGCCTCTTTGTTCCACCTGTTTATCACACCTGCCACCCCCCTCCCCTGGCAACCACTTATTTTTTCATGGTCTCATAGTTTTGTCTTTTCCAGAATGTCATATGGTTGGAAGCAGTATGCAGCCTTTTCAGATTGGCTTCTTTCACTTAGTTGTATGCATTTAAGATTCCTCCATGTCTTTTCATGGCTTGAGAGCTCATTATTTTTAGTGGTGAATAATATTCCATTGTCTTTATGTACAGTTTATTTACCCATATACTTACTGAAGGACATCTTGGTTGCTTCAAAGTTTTGGCAATTATAAATAAAGCTGCTGTAAACATCTCTGTTTATAGACTGTTTATAGCAGTTTATATAGCTGCAGGCTTTTATGTGGACATAAGTTTTTGATTCCTTTGGCTAAATACCAAGGAGGGCAATAGCTGGATCGTATGGAAAGAGTATGCTTAGTTTTTGTAAGAAACTGCCTGTCTTCCAACGTGGCTGTACCATTTTGCATTCACACCAGCAATGAAGGAGAGTTCCTGTTGTTCCACATCTTCACCAACATTTGGTGTTGTCAGTGTTACTGATTTTGGCCATTCTGATAAGAGCAAAGTGGTATCTCATTTTAATTTTCATCTCCCTGATGGAGAATCTTCACGTCCTTATTTGCTAACTGTATATCTTCTATTGTGAGGTTTCTGTTAAGGTGTTTGGCCTTTTCTTTTTCTTTCTATTGTCTTTTATTTCCTTTCAGCTTGCTTTTAAAAAAACTGAAGTATGGTTGATTTAAAATATTATATTAGTTTCAGGTATACAATGTAGTAATTCAGTATTTTTATAGATTACACATACAAAGTTGTTATAAATATTGACTATGTTTCCTGTGCTGTACATTATACCCTTGTAACTTATTTATTTTATACCTAGTAGTTTGACCCATTTTTTAATTGGGTTGTTGATTTAATAGTTTTTCCATATTTTGGATAACAGTCTTTTATCAGATGTGTCTTTTGAAAATAGTTTCCCCAGTCTGTGGCTCCTCATTCTCTTGACGTTGTCTTTTACAGAATAGAAGTTTGAAGTTTTAATGAAGTCCAGCTTATCAATTATTCCTTTCTTGCATTGTGTCTTTGTATCTAAAAAAGTCATTGCCATATCCAACGTTGTCTAGGTTTTCTCCTATGTTATCTTCTAGGAATTTAATGATTTTGTGATTCACATTCAGATTTGTGATTTATTTTGAGTTAATTTTTGTGAAGGGTGTAAGGTTCTAGATTCTTTTTTTTTTTTTTGCATGTGGATGTCCAGCTGTTCCAGTGCCATTTGTTGAAAAGACTATTTTTTCTCCATGGTATTACTTTTGCTCCTATGTCAAAGACCAGTTGACTATGTTCATCGTAGCCTCTCTATTCTGTTCTATTGATCCATCTGTCTATTCTTTCACCTGTACCACACTGTCTTGATTACTATAGCTTTATAATAAGTCTTGAAGTTGTGTCAGTCCCCAACTTTGATCTTCATCAGTACTGTGTTAGCCATTCTGGGTCTTCTGTCTCTAAACTTTAGAATCAGTTGGTTAATATCATAAAATAACTTACTGGTTTTTTTTTTTTGTTTTTTTTTTTGCGGTACGTGGGCCTCTCACTGTTGTGGCCTCTCCCGTTGCGGAGCACAGGCTCCGGATGCGCAGGCTCAGCGGCTATGGCTCACGGGCCCAGCCGCTTCGCGGCATGTGGGATCTTCCCGGACCGGGGCACGAACCCATGTCCCCTGCATCGACAGGCGGACTCTCAACCACTGCGCCACCAGGGAAGCCCCAACTTACTGGGATTTTCATTGGGATTTTATTGAAATTGTAGATCAACTTGGGAAGAACTACATCTTAATAATATTGAGTCTTCCTATCCATGAACATGGAACATTTCTCCATTTATTTAGTTCTTCTTTGATTTCATAACAGTTTTGTAGTCTTCCTCATTTAGATCTTAGACATACTTTGTTAGATTTACACCTAAGTATTTCATTTGTGGGGTGCTAATGTAAATGGTGTTGTTTTTAATCTCAAATTCCACTTGCTCATTACTGGTATGTAAGAAAGCAAATGACTTTTGTATATTAACCTTGTATCCTACAACCTTGTT